AACTGTCGACTTTCCCTAAAAGAATCAAAATGGAAAAATCGGTGACAAGCAGCAAACGCAGAAGGAAAAAGGGGAAGACAACAAAAATAACAACATTACAAAACATACAAACAGCTCCTCACTTCACCACATATGAACAAACAAAATTTAACCAAAGAAGCAAAAGAGTTTGGCAAGAAACCAAACCATAAGTGTATATGTGTATATATATATATATATATATATTATAAGCAGCAGAACTCAAGAATCTGACAAATATCATCGAACTTCATTGTTGCTCCTCCAAGAATCCAGATTGCCAAAAGAATCCAAAGAATCTGTGTTTTTTTTCCTCTCTCGAAGAATCCTAAACCCCGAATCTTTTTGAATAAGAACTTACCTCATTGTGATCGTCTTCGAAGATGCTGAGTTGCATTTAAGCCTTCGAACAGATCGAGAACTCCGGTCTCGAGATCCTCGACGGAGAACTTGATGTAGTTCTCGGGGTGTTTACCGCTTTCAATGTGGCTCCTGAATCGCCCGAGAAACGATCTGTAGGCGGGAATCAGCTTCTCCGATATCGATATCCTCAGCTCTTCTCTCAGTTGAGTGTCGGGAATCAACCACTGCGATTGAACTCTGTGAACTTCTTCGAACAGAGCGTTGAACGATTTGAATCTCTCTCTCAATGCGCTTCTCGACACGCCAGAGGAGAAGCTCCCTTTCGTGTGCAACCCTTCGTCTCTGAGGCAATACAAGACCTTAACCCAAGTGGCTCTTTGGTAATAAGTGGCGGCTTGGCGGAATCTCCCGGTTAGCTTCCTCAGGTAGTTGTCTCCGATCATCTCTCGTAGCTCCGGCGATCCTTTGATCTTCTGAGTGATGTAGTGGACGTTGTTCATGATGAAGAGATGAGACAGTGCGGCGTCTCTGTAGTGCTTGGATTTGCCCTCAACGTTGAATTGCAGGATCACGATGATCCAGATCAGGTGGAGGGCTAATGGAGATTTGTGGTCCAGTTCGGAGAAATCGAATTCCGGTGAGTTCGAATCCGATGGATTTCTCGACGGTTTCGACATGATGAGATCGATCAGTGTGGGTTTGTACTCGGAGATCAAGCTTATGTAGTTCATGACGTACCTCGTCAATGGATGAATCGTTCCTCCTGGAACGGGGACTCTCGAAGGTTCTCGAAGAACTGCGTTTTCGAATTCCGACAAAATCCCCCTCGCGGCTTCCGCCAATCTTGACAGAATCTCCGCCGCTTGAACCCTAATCGAATCTGACGATTTCAAATCGAAGACGGCCTCGATGTCCGGCAGAAGCTCCATCAACGCGTCGTGGAGATCGAGGATCTTGAAGAGCTTCTCCGGCGATCTCCGGCTGATGCTTATCGCCTCCGCGAAGTTGAAGAGCTGAATCGCCGGTCCCTTGACGGTCTCCATGAAACAAGCTTCGTGGATGTTGACGGCGCCGACGCTATCGAAGACGTGCTCGCAGAGCCGCTTCTCGCTCGCGAAAACGACGCGGACGCAGACCTTCGCCGCTCGGATCCATCGCCGGATCTTCTGCTCCAGAGCCTCCCAGTCCAGCCTCTGCACGTCTCCGATGCTCAGCTTCTCGATCCCCAGTCGCCGGAAGCTCGAATCGACGGCGGACTTCCGTACGCTTCCGTACACCTGAATGCACTCCCGGAGATAACCGGCGGCGACCATTCGGCGAGCGATCCAGCTCAGATGCACCACCGCCTCCACCGGAATCAGCTCGATCTCACGAATACTGCTCGTGGATCTGCTGTAACTGCCCCGACACGTCGGCAGTCGAACAGAACCCGACCCGGAACCCGAGCCAGAGCTCGACCCGGCCCGTTTCAGGAGATCCGTCGACTCTTCTTCCTCCTCCTGCTCGTGATGATCCTCCTCGTTGCAGTCGACATTTCCGGAAACCTCGTCTTCGAGATCAAGGCCGTGAGCGGAGGAGAAAGACGACGTCGGATCGACGAGGAGGGAGTCTGAATCGATCGGAGAGCTGTGGCTGACGAGAATGTTCCTGAACTCATCCCGGAGCCGAGCCATGGCGATCTGGATGGCGGAGCTCGCTCGGCTCTCCGATTCTCCGGCGCCGACGGAGGAAGCGGACCGTTGGATTTCGTCGACGGCGAGGAGGTAGAGCTTCACCTCGTGAGGATCAGTGAATATCATCCTGTCTCTGGCTTCCTCGGACGCTGTCGAGTCCCACCGCATGATCACCTTCTCCGCCGCGTCAAAGCCGGAGACCGAACAGTCTCCGCCGCCGTTGCTGCAATTCTCCGGCGGTTCCATGGTTTCATGCGAAAGCTAAAATCTTTTTAACAGATACAGACAAGCGGAAAGTGGGAACGAAGAGATTTTTTTTGAGTTGGAACTGAAAAAGAAAAAACAGTACAAATATTAGATGCCTTTTATCTGAATAAATATTAAATTTTAAAATATTACTATTATATAGTTTATATGTATATGTATATGTATATGTATATGTATATGTATATGTATACGTGTGTGGTTGTGTTGTGTGTACGTAGTTCAAATCTAGAGGCCTCTTTTAAGCATGCCAAGCATCTTTCCAAGTGGATGATGTAAGAAATTAAGTTAATTAAATTAATTAACAATGTTTTTATAATATAAACAAATGAAATCATTGGTTGTGTTATATATATATATATATATATATATATATATATATATATTTTT